CAGATGACCTCTTAGCATGAGATCATTTGTATCAGTAATACAAATGTCCTTCAGCCTAGAGGTGGTCAATGTATTGATCCCGTAATGCTAATTTGAAAATTTGTATTGCTTTTGTTAAGAGCTTAATTAGGGCTTTCCAGTGTTGGCAATCTCTTGTAAAGTAATTTCTGATATTCATACCCTTATGATAATGTATGTGAGTTCAGAAGTTCTTTGATGCTTGCCACTCATTTTCATGAGGAAGCCTGGAGAATAGGCAATGATCTACATGAACCCTAACATTCTAGGGTGATGGGGAAGGCAAATTTGATTAAAAGAATTAACTTTGGTGACAGACAATAAGCTTCTCATTGTGATAATGTTCACTAGGGGCCAGAAAGCTGGTGGGTTATAGTATCTGAAGGAGAGAGAGTGAATCTCCTTCTAGTTCTTGGATATATTTTCGTAATATGTGAGCTATGCTGTTAGAATAAAGAAATATCACATGAAAATACATATCCCTCACTTCTTGTGGAAGGTGAAAGTTCTGGTGACACTGGTAATGACAGTCTGAACATGGCTGGCAGCCCTCATCTGCCTAAATCTTATCATCTATATTGTGTCAAGTCGCCACCACTTCCCCATACATCCTGACACGGAGGCAGAATACTCCATGAATCCGAAGACCACTGTGATACATTAAAAACAAAGGAGATTTTTAAGCAAAAATGAGTTCATTGTCATTTTTCATTGTACTCTTTTTTTTTTAATACTCATGGTTTCACTTCAAGTGGAAAAACAAAGGGAGACAGAAAGCGATAACATTTTTTGAGAAAAATGAGAATGAGCTCATTCCATTGTGGAAGTGAAAAACAGCCCCTTGTCTTTAATATGCAAGCAGTGCCCTCGGATGTCTTGCATCCAGTGCCCCCTCAGTGATTTATATGGCCTCCCAGGCCCCCCAGAACATTTGATTTTGCAGCTGCTGGTGTAGGGGATGCTTTTCTGTCTTATTTATTAAACTATTCTACATTAGGGACACAAAAATGTTTTTAAACTTCTCTAAGTGACAGAAGTATAAATCCAAGAGCAATGTGTCACTTTTATAAGCCCAGAAAATACCAAACTGATTTCCTCATAAAGATCCAGCCATCAGTTAAATGGATAAGCTATTAGTTTACTAATAAAAAAGCAGCCCCATAGTTAAGAGTCTACTAATAAGCTGATTGTCATAGACATAATTGGATGGATGCACCTCAATCATGACACCATATTCACCAAGTATACGAGAGTGTATGTGTGTATGTGTGAGTGAGAGTGATCTGGGGAGACTCAGCAGCAGACCATTATATCTGCCCACAGTACTCGTGAGTGGGTAGGGGCAGATTGTATTGCATGCACACAGCGTCAAGCACACCTGTACCTAGTGGTACAGGTTTTGTGTGCCCTGCACAGCTCAATGGGGCAGGATGCATACAGATGGGGAAGGATGTGCATGATCTCCCCTGAGGCTATACAAGCCGTGGCCCTAGGTGCCCAAGCTTACGCAACTGAGGGCCTTCACTTCTGTGGCTCTGATACTCTCACTTCTGCATCAGTCACACATCTTTCCTTGTTTATCCGTTTTTCACTTTGGGCTTTCAGAAAAGCTTCCCTTTGAGGAAACAGTCTATGGTTAAATATAAATTTGAAAAACCACCATGCTACATGATAAGTAAAAGAGATATTTTTCATTTTTAAGCTAAAGTGATTTTTTTTCATATTGCTAAATAGCTTTCCCATGAATGTGCGACAATTAACCACCATGGAGAAAAGAACAGCAGTTACCCAGCCTTCTCTTAAAACCCCAATAAACAGATCATATTTTCTTCCCATCATTTTTAGGTAGGTATATCTAAAAATGATGGGAAGAAATATGTATTTTTTGTTTCAATTTCTTATTTTACAAACTTATAGAAGCACTAACCATACGATTTGTATTTAGACTCCTTCATGTATGAGTATTCTCTGTGTTTTCACCAGTTGAATCATGACTTTTAGTGCCTATGTATTAAATCACATTGTTGACTCATGATTGATTAAAACAAAGCTCTGTTATTTAGCATGTATAAGTGTCCTGACATGCTTACAGTTAGGACGCTGTTGCTGACCCCCCAGGCAGGAGATAATGGTACAGCAGCAATGGCAGAAGTGTGCCATGCTCTGTAAGTGCGGCAGAAAACACACCACAGGAAAACTCTGTGTATATGTGTATGTCCGTGTATGGGGGTATGATTTTTAATCTTTGCTGTTTTGGTAGGAAAAATTGCATTATACTGTTGTTTAACTTTTTCACTAATGGTGTAGAATATTCATTCATTTGTTCAATCGCCTGTATTTCTTTTTTCCGTTCAGTGAAATCTGTACTCATCTTTATGCCATATTACCCAGGATGTGATTTTTATCATCGATATATATGAGAGCTTGAGCTATTTAGAGTATTAGTCCTTAAATCGTCACATGATTACCCTTGTATCTGGCAGATGTGTGGCAAATGTTTTTCTAGTTTGTTGGTCATTTAATTTTGTGTATGATTTGTGTAAGTTTTCAATTTGAAGCCAGACTTGTGCTTGATGATTGTGGCTTTAATCGTCTCTGGGCCACAATTCCTTCAAGAGAGCTCTCTTTGATGTCCAGGAGCCCAGGCTGCCTGAGTGTCCATCTCCAGGGGCAGTGCCCCAGAGCCCCTTCCGGCTGCTTGCTTGCTGGGAGTGACTTACTTATGGACCAGAGCCGGACTTGTCCAGCTTCCTCCCGCCCAGCTGTTTGGCGGGAACTATGGACCAAGAAGCCCGAGGCGGGGGAGGGATCAGCTTTCTAGGCGCTGCAGATGGGACAGCAAGAGGAGATGAGCAATGAGAAAACCCTGCGATCTGCACGGAGAAATGCTGAACCAGGAGCAGAGCAGAGGGACCGAAAGCCCCCCAAATCTACTTCAAGCGCTCCGATTTGTTCTTCCAAGGGCATAGCAGTGGTGGTGATTTTAAAAATGCAATCCTGTTGGCTTCACAGTGTTTCATCCCTGATATTGGCGGCAGCACTACTTCCAGCCCTTATTTCCTGGCGGCCGTGTGGATTTGCTGCTTGAGTTCCACCTGACCCGTTAAATGGAAGATCCATGAAAGAAGAGGCTCTGCCAGTTTTGTGTATCTCGCTTTGCACAGCTTTCAGGACAACCTCTGATGTCCAATGAATGTTGTTGAAATATGTGTCAGATGAATAAAAGAATGACTTTAAAAGATGCACGACAGTGGGCAGTGGAGGGTATTTTTGTCACAGACCAGTGGTCCGATGTGCTTTCAAATGAGTCCCACTCATCTGCTCTGTTAACAGAGCAGGGCTTGTGGGCTCTGGGCCGTTCATTCTTAGTACCTCCACCTCCAGGCTGGAATGTGGGGATGCTTTTGGGAGCCCCTGGGGCTGGTGGTCAGGCCAGATGCTTTACTTCCCAGCCCTGCACCACATTGCTTTTTCAGTACATCCTGACATGTGCAAGCAGTGCTCAGATCTCTGCTTTTCCCTGTTTAGCATCTTTTAATTTTTCTAAAGTTGACCCCTTCTAGGGTAGATTTTGAATGTGGTGATTTTTGGTACTCTAACCTCTCATTAATGGGATGATACTTGGGGTACTATCATTACAAAGGATTGTCATAGGTTTTCTTCTGATGACTATATTCCATTTTATAGAGACCAACACATCTGTAGTAAACCAAATCATTATATAACAGATGCCACCTGTTTCTCAGTGATGGATTAGAATTCTTTAGATGTAAATGTTAAATGAGGCATCTTATCCTAAAACCAATGTTCAGTTTATCTGTGCTAATGGGGGTGGGTTATGTGAAAAGTCCCTTGATGTACATGCTTCTGGGTGATGTCCCTTGGTGTGGTACCCTTGCTTTCTGTGTTAAATTATGGTTTCGATGTGTCTGTTAAAATCCTGTGTATAACGTAAGGCAATGACTAGAGCTAAATCATTCTTGTCAAGCAAGAGACGTTTCTAGTGCTACCACGATGGCACTACAGAGCAGAGATTCTGTTGAGATGTGGAAGCAGAGGAAAAAATAAGGAAGGAGAACAGTTCAGTGGGGAACTGACCTGCTTGATGAGACAGGGGAGCTAAGGGTGGTGTACCGCAAGTGGGGAGGGATAGGATCTAGGGAGCAGAAGGTTCCATCTACGTGTTCTGCAAGGGTCCAGGGAAAGAGGATTTGGACCAAGAATAGGATTAGGGTGGAACTGGAAAGAGGGAAATTGGTTCTTCAGGAGCAAGCTAGAGAAAAGAAATCAGAGATGGGGCTACCCTACATACACTCAGGGAGAAGTGAGGAGAAGTGAGGCTGGGCCTTAAATGTGTTGGGCATCTATCTCAACCTAAATATCTGACATCAGTGGTCACCAAATACATGTATCTCCAAAACTAGGGAACACTGAAATTTTATTTTAATTTATGTGCCTGTGATTGCCCAAACCTGTATTGTAGTAGCCTTAATACGTTAACACACCTTAATCAAAATTTGTTTAAATGCGAACATATTGACTTGAAGCCTTTGTTTGACAATGTAATACCCTCTTAGCACAAAATACAAGCTCTGCATATCTGTGTCGGTTTTCTGGGTTCCATTTTGGACTAGTTATTGAACATCATCATCATTGGAGTCATAATAAAATGAAATATAATGATGTGACCCAATTGCAGTCACCTCTTTTCTCTCTACCACTGAGTTTTTAGAAAGTAGGTCAAAGTCAATAGGATATTTGTGTTCTTTTCCAGTTTATTAACTTAAGTATTCATTTCCTGAATATGCCAAATTAACTAAGTAAGAGGGATGGGATAGAGAATAAAGGGGAAGAAAAGGTCATTGCTGTCGTTCTGTATGTTAGCTAGGTCTGTCTCTCTCTCCCGCACACCAGACCCTTCAAATTCCAGAAAAGAGTTCTTTTTTTTTAACTGACTTATAAACATGCCTTTCGTCTTATAGGTGGAATGGCTAAAAAATGAGGAGCCCATTGACTCTGAACAAGACGAGAACATTGACACGAGGGCTGACCACAACCTCATCATCAGGCAGGCGCGGCTGTCAGACTCCGGGAATTACACCTGCATGGCGGCCAACATCGTGGCGAAGCGGAGGAGCCTGTCGGCCACTGTGGTGGTTTATGGTGAGAACAGGCCAAGGGCCAGGAATGGGCAAGGGAGGATGGAAAACAGGGGTGTAGAGGGATATGCAGCGTATTGACTCTTTCAGCTTTGGGAACTGAGAGGCTGGGGACCTCCCACTCTCGCCCTGTCCGCTGCCTCTCCCGCTCGGCAGCTGAGAACACATTCACATGGCTGTTAAGGTGTTTTGCTCTTCTGTCCAATATTGGACTTCAGTGAGGTAGTCAGTGACATTTCCAGTCTCTCTCTTTTAAAAAAAAAGTAATTTTAAAAGTTGTTTATTTTCTTCCATTGTGCTTATATTTGAAAAGAACTGAGTTGGACAACTTCTGCTTCCCGCCCTTCCCAAACCCAGCATCCACCCCCCACATCTCCCCCAGACCTGCTGTCGGCAGTTTTTCTCCTGGTACATGAAATCCACCAAAAACAAACATTACCATTTGCTGAATATCTCTAGTATTAAATAAAAGAGGTTCCCGGCTACTTAAATCAAGGCACTCCAATTCATAATCGAAGAGTCCTGGGATTTATTTCTGAAGCATTTAAAGTAATGGAAATTCAAATGCTGATATTTTCTTCTTCTTGTCTGGGTTTTCAAGCACTTTAGAGATATACTGATAAGTTCTTCCTATTTTTCATAATTTCCCTGCAAAGAAAATTCTCTGTGTCCCTCCTCTATCAGCTGAGCAGGCTGAGGGACAGGGATGAACTAAACCCCAAGGTCACATCAGGATGGAGGGGCTGCTGTGGGTCCACAGGGTATCCCAGTCCCTGGATGCTGCGCTCACAGCACCTGGCACAGTGGCTTGCACATAGTAGGCAATCAGTAAAAACCTCTCTCCTTTCTTTCTTCCCCTCCCCATTTTTCTCTCTCAGTGAATGGAGGCTGGTCTTCCTGGACAGAGTGGTCAGCCTGCAATGTTCGCTGTGGTAGAGGATGGCAGAAACGTTCCCGGACCTGCACCAACCCAGCTCCTCTCAATGGTGGGGCCTTTTGTGAGGGAATGTCAGTGCAGAAAATAACCTGCACTGCTCTGTGTCCTGGTGAGATATGCGCAGATTCCCTTCTCCCTTCTGGTCCACCAACACATTTAAGCTGGTGTGAAGCATTCAGTATAAGCACCCTTCCCAAAGTTGACTTCTGAGTTCTTAGAATGGAGCCTTTGTCCAAAGGCCAATGTGGAACTCGTTGTAATAACAAACACATGGCTGACATCCCTCTGTGTGGGGAATTTTTTTTTTTAAATACTCAGATGACCCTACATACTCAACCATCAATAAGCCAAATGCTTGGAAGTGCTTTTATACTGCTGGTGTCTGGCTGGGCCCAGCCAGCCCCATCTCTCTGTGGTTCTACCGTTTTGAGCATTCATTTGTATAGTGGCTACCAGGGATTAAGTGAGTTGTCTGAACTCAAGACCAGTATCAAAACTTTGACCCTTTATCATCAGTTGCCAATCAACTAAGCCTATCATATCAGGGTTACTTTGCATTTATTTACAGTACAGGTGGCAGAGGCTGTACAATATCATAGCAGTTCATGCTTTACACTTGGTTTGTGCTTAACTTCCTTCCCAACTACAGGGACATTTCATTAGTCAAATACAGCTTTTGTAAGTTCCTTTGTTCATCATCTCTTACTGGCTCTAACCCAATTAATACAATGAGAAATAGATGAGATGAAAGATGGTTTTCTTTATGGAAAGCGTATCCTCCCACTGAGACATAAATTGGTCCTGGGTCTCACATGCATGATAAAACAACTGCAAGGACACTGGACTAGAGCCTCACGCTTTAAAATTTCAAAATCCAGTCCCACTCAAAGCTCAGGTGAGGCTTGCCACCAGCAGTGTTTTCTTGAAATTTCATTTTGAACTTGTGTTCAGTACACATTTATTGAGTGCTTACTATGTGCCAGATATTGTGCAAGATGCTTTCACACGTGATGTCATTTATGTGCTGTGAGTTTTATTATCCCCAGTTGACAGAAACCGTAAAGTAAGACCAAGTGACATGCTCAGGGTTGCTCAGCCAATACCTAGACGAAAACCAGACAAGGACTCAGACATTTCGCTTCAAGTTTAGTAGTTCTTATGTCATCTCACTCTAAGAAAAATTGCAGTATCTTAAATAACCCACATGAGCATAGTAGTGGGACAGTAGCCTCACACAGCTGCCATAATCTCTAGGGTCGATTTCTAGTGGAATTGAATTCAGTCTGTGTCTCTACATACTGCAGCAATCCAAGACCCAAGAAATTCTATTTCTGTAAGTTCTGATATCTTGGGGTGTGACCTGTTTTAGTTTAATAGTATCCAATATATATGGGTCTAACTTTTACTGTTTAGGGTTTTTAGGACTTAAAGTCAGTTCATTCCGCTCTCTGTTCTAAACCATCAATCCACAAGGAAGGGGTGATCACAGGTGGTTACTGCACATAGTTTATCCATCTGAGATGCACTTGGGCATGAAAGACTGGTGAAGAATGGATAATGACTGGTGAAGAATGGATTATTAGCCAGCCCAAGGGCTAAGCTTTGGAATGCTTGCCTAATTTCAGTAATTGGTCTCATCCTGAAATAGTAAGAATTGCACCACCATTTATGTTAACCTATCTCCTTACGAAAGAAACCATGGAGAGAAGATAAACAGATACATGATCTTGTTTGTGTGGTGGTGGTAATTTCTTTAAAATCCAGCTCTAGCGAATACCAGCAGTGGTGGGTTGATTCATTCTAATGATGGTTCCTTTTTCTCCCCCTTGAAGTGGACGGGAGCTGGGAAGTGTGGAGTGAGTGGTCGGTCTGCAGTCCAGCGTGTGAGCACTTACGAATCCGGGAGTGCACAGCCCCACCCCCAAGAAATGGGGGCAAATTCTGTGAAGGTCTGAGCCAGGAATCTGAGAACTGCACAGATGGTCTCTGCATCCTAGGTAACACCTTCTGCTTCACATTTCCAGTGTTTGTCCATAATATGAAAAGAAACGCCATGGCCAGTGATTTGGTTCAGTAAGTTAGCAGAAAGCAAAACCACCACAAGCAAAAAGAAAATGGTGAAAAGTGTGGAAAAGCAGACAAATATATTTTTAGTAGAGAGGGGATAATTTTAAATATCTTACTACTGTAAGTTCCATAAATGAGTATACTTATTAATCTAACCAAATAAGGTTTTAAGAGACATGATTTAAGAAAATGTTTAAAACTGCCTTTTTTAGTTCCACAATTCTCTTTTAAGTTTGATGAAATTCTGATACCCATTACCATCTGCTTATATTTCTCCCAAGAATTTCCCAGCACCATAAAGTTTTTAATAATCTTCAGGGAGTATGGTTCTGTGGTGAGGGGCTTGTGGTGGTGACTGCTGTCTTCCAAACTGGGGGTGTGAGGGGGGTTATGACACCTGGACAGATGGGCAGCTTTGTATCACATCAGTCTGAAAAAGCAAGAAATAGAATGTTCAGTTCAAAACTCCCAAGTCTTTGCTTTCCTCCCGAGGTTACACTCTTACCATCTCCAAGCGACTGTCTGCCTGCGTAAGAAAGTATGGAAGGGTAAAATAGGGTAACACAGACAGGTTTTAATTTGGTGCTATCCCTTGCTAGCTTTGTGACCCACATAAGTCATTTAACTGCTGGACTTCTCCATCTGTAAGTGCACTCAAGAGTTATTGTCAAGGCCAGATAATACACGAATGTATTTGACTGTTGCATGGCACAGAGTAGGTGCTCAAAAATATTAGCCCCTCCCCCATTTGACTACTCAGATGAGCTAATGTGTGTTGATTTTTTTTAAGTGCTTAAAAAATAGGAAATTCAGGGCATACTTATTCTCTAGTATTAGGTAGCCTTCTTGGAATATATCCAGCAAAAAAACAATTAAGTTCATTGGTTTGTCATCTTTTCAGGAATATGTGTTGCTTTTCATTTGGGGAAAATGGCAGTATGAGGGAAATATCTAAGTGGGGTTTATTTTTCTGCATTGGTATGACCAGGTAACCTTGAAGGGAAGCATATTCAAACAAGCATATTTTTCAAAATAAGTATGTATGGTTAATATATTGGCTAAAATGATTAATACAATGAAATGAACACTTCCACATAGCACATAGCACCTTTATTTGCTCAATACAAGTACTGAGTAACCTGCATATGTGTAATACAATATAAGGTACTGTAGCAGAAGGCAACCTAGCTATTGAACTCTGATGGCAGGGCTGTGAGTGCATATATTCCAGCCATTTGCCTTCCCCCTTCTAAAATGTAAGGAAGCTTAACACGAACACAAGAACAAGAAGTTTAAGGAAATGTGCCTCTGGGCACCCTTGACTATCACCAGATTTTTCTGAAATACACCTTTGAGGGTGGGCTATTTTTTGACACATAGTCAAATATTTTATCTGATATAGTTAGGACTGTGAATCTCATGTGTTCTGAAGACACCATTGACAATAAAACTATTTGGCTACTGGTTGAATTACAGGTAATCATAGTAATAACCTTCCCTATCAACCATTGATTAGACTTGCACTTGGGGAAAATCTGTGGATATTAGGTTTCAATCTTAGTTGACTTAGTCTTAGAGTGACTGATTGAAGACAGGCAATGGTTAGCCCCTGTGGTGAGAAAGAATTGTTATTAAATATGAGCATTACTTATTGGCACTTGTATCATGATATACAGGCATTTGTCAGTTGAGAAAGAGTTCTTTGTAGGGCAGAAAGGAGTTACCAGCACAGAGAATGTATTGGCTTGCCTAGACCCCAACTCTAAAAGCTGAGATGCTCTATTAGGGTTCTTTAGAGAAACAGAGCCAGTAGCATGCATACATTGATACATAATAGGAATCATATACACACACATACATATACACATGCACACACACACAGATATATAAAGAGATTTATTATAAGGAATTGGCTCATGTGATTATGGAGGCTGTCAAGTCCACAATCTGCAGAGCCAGTGCCCAGGTCCAGCCCGCAGGCTGGCAGGCTGCTGCAGAACCCAGAGGAGCTGGTGGCCTGGTTCAGAGACCAGTGGGCAGGAGAATTCTGTCCTACTCAGGCAAGGGTCATGCTCTAAACTGATTGGCTGAGCCCCACCCACTTATGGGGCACTGTCTGCTTTTGCTCAGTCTGCCAACTTAAATGTCGGTCCAGAAACATCCTAGAAGAAGAATTTTTGAGCAAACATCTGGACACCTGATGGCCCAGTCCCAAGTTGACACCTAACACTAACCACCACAGATGCACACTGTCTGTGAAATTCCACAGCTTAATTCTTTCCTTGGAGCCAGCCATGGCCATAGTTCAGGCTGTTGCTTGAAGTCATTATTTACTAAATGAACCATTCCTATAGATATTGGCCACAAGTGGTTCTGGTCACACGTGTGTAGTTTGGTGGGTAGTCTGTTTGTTTTCCTATGCAGGAAATACGTAGCTAGCAAGACAGTGAGGTCTGGAATATGTTCTGCATAGGAGGTGAGGTGAATCCTCCCATGAGTTTAAAATGCTGCGTGACCCTTTTCTTTCTCTCTAGCTGCTTCATTCCTCTATCCCCTTTTCTACTAAAGCATGGTTTTTCCAGCCTCTTTTCCCTCCATGGTAAGCATATTAAGACATCTGCCAAATATGATCAGAAACTCTTGATGGCTATGATAACTTAGCTTTTTGAGGGAAAAAGAGTGAAGCCTGTGAAGTTAGAGCTGAATGACTTATTTTTAATCATTAATGAGATACATTTATATAGCAGTGGGAAAGAGGTGTGTTTACCAGAGCCCAACAGGAGGATATATTTGGCCTTTCTAGACAGTGAGTGGCTGCCAACATGAACAAAAGTGAGCCGCATTTTCCTGTCTGTGCAGGAAGGTCGGCGATCTGGTGAAATGCTGCCAGCACCACTGTGCCTCTCCTGGGGTGGCATTCCTGGTGAACCTAGCAGTGGTCTCAGGACAGAGGTCTCGTGAGAGCTGGCTGTGATTAAAATAGCATTTGGCGACCGCTTCATGGAACAGTAGCTCTGGGAAGGATCTAGGTCATGTTAGAATGTGGGAATTTCCTTCCTCCTGATTTTTTTTTTTTCCTTTATGCCAAACAGGACCCTAAAGCAATTCCTTAGTCCTCATCTCCTCTGGGAGATTTCAACAGTGACATTGCTTGGCTCTTAGATGACCTACAATCCATTGATTTTAGGTAGCTTTCAACAAAGCATCTGATCTCCTTTGCTGTCCCTGAGGGCTGCATTTCTCCTGGAGATGGAGCTGTGGGCTCTGAATGATCACTTCACTATTTGGGTGTGATTGTTGCTTGGGGAGTTGTGACTGGAGCACAGCACCTTCGTGTTACAGTATTGCAGAGGGTCACACCTAAGTACTCCCAACAAGAAAATAAATGCCCCAAGCCCAGTGAGAGTAAGAGGAGGCAAGTTCTGTCCATAGCAGTTAGTCCAGGGGTCCATACTGCAAGCATAAATTAAGCATATCATGTCTTTATGCTACAATACTGCTTTTCCAGAAAGATGATTAGGTGGTTGGTATGATTGTCAAGAAACGAGAACTTGGGGATCCATGTTTCCTAAACTTAAACACCAGAATCAGGTAATTTCTGGTCATCGTCCTTTCTGTTTATGAACTTAGCTGTTATTATGGTCTGAAGATCACGGCCAGGGGTAAATAACATGTGCGTGCCTCGTTGGCTGGAGCAGAAGGTGGAAATGGAGCGGTATTCAGTTTGATCCTGAGGAATAAGAGAAGCCTGCTCCTTCTCCCATTACTCCAGCAGATAGAAAACTAAGGGCTATGGCTTGAGAAGATTAATTAAATCTGCTTCAGAGGGATTAGTGCCTAGATGTGTAGTAGGACAGAAGCCAGAGAAATGCCACAGGGCCCTGAAAGGGAGAGGCAATCTTTAAGGCTGAGCGACCCACCCCGATGGCTAATCCGTCCTTCCCGTCAGGATATAAGATAGGTCAGTTCAACAGTGACAGTTCAAATGCTGAACTATCAGTAAAAGGGTGGTTTGTTTTCATTTCTGATGGGTGTATTGATAAGAGCAGTTTGAATTGCCAGCTTTGGAAACCAAGTCAAGGACTTCTATGCAATAGCAGGTTCAAATAAACATCCCCAAGCTACATCTAATAATGCGAACACATTGTCTATGGAGTGATCTCCTTAAATGACCACAGGAGGCACCTGAAAAGGTGAGCCTGTGGTGACATAAAGCAAAGGCTGCCTTGGTGAGCATTTTCTCTTGGACCATTAGTCTAAGCCTCATCGTTATCCATTACAGTAATTACCCAGGCCCTTCCCTGTCTTTCCTAGCACACTATTGGATGAAGAGAATTTCCATTCTGGAGTTAGCTCAGTGCATCTGAACCAACTCTCACTCTTCGCCTGGTTTCCAGAATGCATGCTTTGTATGTAGGATTATAAAGGGTGGGGTTCACTTCCTTTCTCTTTAGGCAGAGTCAGGAATCATACCCGACACATTCTTTAACTGTTTTTGGACAAGTTCATATTTCAGAGCCAGCTGCACTGCACAACTGCCTAATTATAGCATAGTTAAAGTCCATAGAGCAAGGAAAAGAAAACGGCTTCAGCCAGGTAACATGCTAGCACAAAGCATTAAGTTGTTATGAAGTTCCCTGCTGCTTTCTAATTCTCCCTAGTAGTTTTATATTAAAAACTCATTTCCATTCCATTTGTAGTGCGTAGTAGGCGCTCTGTTTCACAAAAAGATTTTTCCTAGAAATACCCAGTAGCTGCCTTTCTGCATAACAAACACCTGATTAATTCAGAGTTGCTTCATGTATGCTGTGTAGCAAAAGTGGATATGAGTTTGCAGACCCACAGGAGTAATAAGAATGTAGATTTGGACACATACGGTGTCATTAGCAGCTGAGCAACAATTTCTCCCCCATACCCCAGAAAACACTTT